TCCCCACAAAACCCCAGAGCCGCGCATGAGGGCCGACGAGTCCGGGCCCCAACTTCCTTTGATAAACGCGGGCGGACGGCCCCTCGCCCGGAAACCGCAAACTTTTTCTTCCATCCCCCCCCCTTTTTCCCAACCCGGGCCCCAGGGCCGCCAGAGGGACCCAAGGTCCCGGGAACCCCGAAAGCCTGGAACGGGCCCCGCCCGCCTGGAGCGGACGCCCCGCGACTCCTTTCCTGCGGTCCCGAATCCCCTCCCAGCCGGCTAGTTTGTCCGGTTCTCCCCCGGCCCCCCTGGGCCGCCTCTAAATAAAATCGCCTAGAAAAAAAAAAAAAAATGGAGCGAGGAGGAAAAAAAAAAAAAGAGGCGAAGCCACGTGGTGAAAGCCCCCACCCACCCGCAGGGGAAGACCCCCGACGCCTCTGGGCCCTTGCACCCGCCGGCCCCGTCCAGCCCACCAACCTCCCGCCCGGGGAGATCGGGGCGGCGGGAGGGGGCACCCCGCTCACCCCCAGTCCACGGGGCGGGTGGGGCAGCGTCCCCGAAGCTCCCCTCGCCCCCTCCTCCTGGGCAAGAATCTGGCCCCGAGGGAGGCGCCCCGCCCCCACCCTCCCCCTCCCCGGGCCCGGCTGGGGGAGGGTGGTCGGCCCAGCAGCTCCCACCTCTTTATATGTAAAATGTACGTTTATTTTTTATTCGGGGTGGGGGGTGGGGGTAGGCTGCCCACCCTACCTAGGGTGGCTGCTACCGACTGACAGGCGGGGGACGCGGAGACAAAGGGAAGCCGAGGACTCTGGGGTCTTCAGGAGGGGGTCGCGCGAGCTGGTGGTTTGGAAAAGAAAGGCGCCTTTCCCGGGGTTTTTGGTGGGAGGGGGGTCCTCGGCCTTCCCGGCCCCAGTCCTAGGAGACGCCCTCGCCTCCCGGGACCCAGGACCGAGGGGCCTGCGAGCGCGGGACCAGCCGGCTGGGAACGGGGGTCGCGGGTGGGAACGGGGGATCCTTAGGAAATCAGGTCTCAGGATTCCCACGGGAGAAGGGGTGGCTCACTCCCGGGGTTCGGCTGTTGAACGAGAAGGTCTTGGGGTCCTGGGAGAGCGCGCGGCTCCGGCCCAAGATGACCCCACGGAAGAGGGAGGGGTGAAGAGGAGGACGGGGAGCGGGAGCCGGAGCCGACCCGGGCGCACCGCAGGGGGAGGTCTCGGGGAGGGAGTGACCGGGTGCCGATCCGAATCGCCCCCCTCCTCCCGCCCCGACGCGGGGACCGACAGGTGGAGTCCCCGCCGCCGGCTCCACCCGGGACAGCGACAGCCGCTTTCCCCGCTCGGAGTTGGGGTCGCGGAACTTTGTTTGGGGTGCAGGACTGGGATCCGGGCGGGAAGGCGGGAGAGGGGCCGAGCTCGAAGCCCCGCCCCCGTCCCCAGGTCAGACCCGCGGGGGGAGGGGGTGATTTCCGCTCGGCGACGGGGAAGCAGGGGCGGGAGCTCGGAGGAGGGGGCGGCCCGCCCCCCGCCCGCTCCTTGGGAGGGGAAGCGGACCCGCCCTGGTCCCTTTCCTCGCCTTTGACCAACTCGTTCCGGATCCTCTGGCCCCGAATCCGAGGGACGGACCCGACTGGGCAAGGGGCGACACGTGGGCGGTCGCACCCCGTTTCGGCGTTGGGGGAGGGGGCAGCTCGCCGCGCCTTTCGGAGTCTCGGAGACGCGGCGGAGAGCGGGACGCGCGGTCCCCGCGCCCCCGGGATCCCGGGCCGGGAGTTTGCGTCGGCGGCGGGGGCTGGGACGGCGCCAGGGGGTGGCGGAGCGCGGCTCGGGGGCCCGGCGGAGCCCCCCGGACCGGGAAAGCAGGGAGTGAACCCCCAGCGGTGCCAGCCGCCCCTGGAGCGGAGCGGAAGCTCGGGTTTTGCGGGAGGGACAGATGGTTCTGTCGGGGGCACGCGTGCGGTGCGGGCAGGTGAGGAAGGGGGTCAGTCTCCCTTTCCCGGTCCCCGACCCCATTGTCTCAGTCGCCCGCGGCCCAGGCCGACTCCGCAACACGTGTTGGCTGCACCGAGATGAATGCCTTGGGGTTTTTTCTGATTATTTTTTGTTTGCAGAGCCAGTGAGCTGACTCCGACTTGTGCGCACCGCTCTTCTGCCAGACGGTTTTATCCCTTTCAAAAGTCGGGACTTACAGACACGCCGCACCTCGGTCCCCCCTCCGGGTTTTGCGCTGAAAATAAATGGGGCTCGGCGTGGGGGCGGGGAGGGCTTCCGACTCGGTTTCTCTGTCTCCACCACCTTCAAAACCCACCGTCCAAATTCGCGTTTTGTTCTAGCTAGCCACGTGTTTGTCGCGTATTTGTCTTTGCGGTTTTTTTTTTTTCTTTCCATGGGGCAACAAATTAAAATACTACCAGCTATTAGTCGCTGAGTGGGAAAAAGACTTCTATCCCAGGAGTTGGGCGACATGTGTATTCCACCCCCCACCCCTCCTCCCACCCTCCCCCTGTTTCTGACTATTTAACTCTTGACCATAAACGTCATTTTAAAAACAACGAGCTGGAATCGGTGCCTGCCACATAGTAGGTATTCAATAAACATTTTTAATGAAAAACGAACTAATACAAACTGCAGAGCAAAGAGAATCCAAAGGATAAAGAATCCAAGAGAAGAAGAAAAAAAATCATCTTGGCCAGAATTTGTGGGTCTGCTGCCTGGGGACTGTGCCTGGTGTGTTGTGTGTGTGCTTCTGAAAGGGCTAAAATAGTCTCAGAGAGGCCTTTCCCTCAGTAGGAGCCCCTTCCAAGGGGGCTCCTGTTATATTGGCGAACAAGAAAGAGGGTACTGGGCAGGGCATTCCACTCCCAGAAAGTGCTATTTTCCTTCATTTAATTTAAATCTTAAGGCATTAATAGACGCACCTCTCAGGTTTTCTCCCTGGGGGGACATAGCCACTACTCAACTTCTTTATTCCTAAAACCAAAGCAAGTTCCACCCCACAAAAATCTCCCTCCAGACCTCAAAATGCCTGTAAAATGCAGTCCACCCTTTCCCATCCTAGCTTAAAAGGAAAACAAAAATTTTTAAAGCGATAATTCCGTTCACTTTTAGGTGGTGGGGTTTTTTTTCCATTTGAAAAAATATATTACATGTCTCAATGTTAACTGAAATTAGTTTTTAAAATGACAGTAGAGGAGAAAATACGAGTTCTTAAAATTAAAATTTTACCAAGCATTGCTAAATTGAAACTGATTCATTTTTTTTTTTTTAATCAGCTGTTTCACTGAATTCTAATCCTCCCACCCCACCCCCTTCACCAAGATCTTCTGTGTATAGTCAGAGGCTGCAGGAACAGAGGAGACAGCTGGGGTTAGAGGCAGACCCTTCTTAGCCCCCCAAATCAGTTTTGCCTCAGTGACCTGGCTATTTTAGGCTGGGGTTGGGGATATTGAGTGATGTTGATTGGTGCTTCATCTCTCCCCTCTGAGTGAGCCCAGCACTAAAATTAACCTGAGAGAAGGGTTATTTCTTGTCAAACTCACATTCCTAGGTTAAGGATAAAAATGGGCAGACTTAGGACTCCATAATTTATCATCCTCCCTTTCTTTGGCTTGATTTTAATATTAAAGACAACTAATAAACATCGTGTTGTTTTTTTTCTACACAGCTTCTTTGGACAAGATTAATATGCAGTTCAGAGTTAAATTTAGTTTGTGAGAGTTAGCTGCAGGATAAATTATTTAATAATAATTTATACAATTTAAGAGCATTCTTATCAATTTTTAAATCATTATTATATTTGTTCTCTTTCATTTTTCTTGGAGAAATGTTTGGAACACTTACCAGAATTCAATTTTCCTCTGAATTCAGAAACACTGAAACTTGACTCCATTTTAAAGATGGGATTCTGATCCATTTTCCTACAGTGTGAACATAAATATTCATGCAGAGAGGAAAAAAATTAAGAGAATTAAACAACTCTTTAAACATTGGAAATATAAAAAAAAAACAATGACACCATTGTCATACAAAATTAATTTTGTTTCTAAAATGTATCTAAAATTCGTTCATTTGTACTAATTTTGTATTTTGTCATCTTATTTTTACATTTTAATTTTTCACTTGCTATTGT